TTCTGTTCTGTTCTGTTCTATTCTATTCTATTCTGTTCTTTTCTATTCTGTTCTGTTCTGTTCTATTCTATTCTATTATGTTCTATTCTATTCTGTTCTGTTCTATTCTGTTCTGTTCTATTCTATTCACCCCAGTGTTCCATGTGTAAATATGCAGTTCATTTAATCTTACACATCATTGTGTTTAGAAATGGTTTTCTATGTGACTGTAATTGTGTATTTGTGATGTTAGAGAGACAGAAGTTTAGTTAGTTAGTGTGTGTGTGTGTGTGTGTGTGTGTGTGTGTGTGTGTGTGTGTGGGGTGGTCAGCTGTGTGTTTGTGAATGAGAGTCCTGTGATACACTGCTTATAATGTTTGTGTGTGTGATTTACAGTTATGGGTCTGCATCACATTTGTAAATCAAAGCCAGTACTGTTTATTTTATCGATATTTACATCCAGCGCCTCCCTGACTCGTGCGGTTTTCTGTGAACTTTAATTAATACAGTTTATGTGTGTTTATGTGCAGGAGAATAACCAGACCGTTGCTTTCTTTCCTGAGCTTTAGTCTTAACTGAGCACCACAGCCGTTCCTGCGCTGATCTGCCACATTAAACCAACTCTTTATATGCTAATCATTTCTATGTTTCTGCTGTATGCAGTTCTTTGTGGATATATGTATGTATTGCAATAATATTTTATTTGCATTTATGTATCTGGCAAACGTTTATATTTAAGCACTTACAGTATATTCAAAGTATGCATTCTATTCTATTCTATTATTCTATTTTATATTTTTTCAATCTGTTGCTGTGGAGGAACAAATCTGCAAAAATTTTAAATAAATAAATAAATGTAACAATAGGACAATTAATAAAGAAATAAATTACTTTTAGCCATTAATTTATTTTTGTATTTATTTATTGTTATATTATTTTATCCCCACATGTATTTGTTTATTTATTTGTTTGTTTGTTTATTTATCATTTTTGGAGATTTGGTCCTCCATTGTTCTTGGTTTAGTTTATTGACTTCCAAAAATAAATGAAATTTTTTTTTATATATTAAGTTTAATTACATTTAATGTTTTCATTACTTATTTTTCCTTGATTATTTTCTGTATTGATTTTTTTTTATTATATATTTTTTCTTTTCTTTCATTTCTGTATTTATTTCCATATTTATTTATTTTTAACTTTTGCGTGATTTTATGTTTTTGCATACTTCCTGGTTTAGTTTAATGTCTGTTATAAGGAATAATAAATTACATGATAAAATAAATACTAAACTAATTTTTAATTAAATTTAGTCATTAATTATTTTGTGTTACTTCGTTTTCCTTTATTTGTTATTTTCTTTATCTTTCCCATGTGCATTTTGTTCCATACTTATTTATATATGTATTTATTTATTTCAAAATTTTGCAGGTTGGTCCTCCATAGGGTTCCTGGTTCAGTTTTCCGTCTGCTGCGTTGTTTTTGTGGTGTAATGCTGCCATCTAGCGGCTGATGTCAGTACTCCGCCTGAATCTGATGTGTGGCGCCCCCTGCTGGCCGCCGTGATACACGCGCGCTGCGTCAGCACAGTATCTGCTGCGCTGGCACCTTTACCGCGCTGTTAATCCTTTTAACGAGTAAAAACCTGGCGAGTTATAAAGCAGAAGCGAGAAGCTGACCTTGCTCTTCATCTTCAGATTGATGCGATGTGAGTTTTGTTTACAAAAATAACAAACATGAGAACGCACCCTTCCGCCCACATCCTTCACTGCGGCATCACTGCACTGACAGCACATCAGCAGCAGGTGTCGCCGTTTAGTAGTACAAAATATTTATAAATATATTATTAAAAATCATTTCAACAAGTATTTTAAAAACGTAATCATAAAAGGAGAATAAATAAATAATTGATATATTATACTTACATGGTGTAATAATTCTATGTCGATTATAAAATAAATATTCAATAATATTGTTTTATTATATTATATACAAATATATATTTGCATATTTTATTTTAATAAATATTTTATAGTATTTGACAATATTTTTATATTTATAATAATTATTTTTCACTTCACTCTAGTGACTCCCTTTAATAAACTACTATATATAATCATACAAACAGTAATTTATTAAACTACTTTTCCTCTTGTAGATATTTGTAGATTAAAAAAATAATTATAAAAAATAAAATGTAAAAATATTGTCAAATACTGTAATAAATTATATGTGTGTGTACAATATGTGTGTGTACATATATATATATATATATATAGTGATTTATTATTAAAAATAGAAAAAATAGAATAATAGCATATTATTAAAATGCAATCTACATAGAACTGCAAGAGAAAATTTTATTTAGAATAAATGATATGTAATACATATAAAAAATTATTTCAGCTAAAAGTGCTTTAAAAGCATCAAACTAGATATATTTACATATTATATTTGTATGCTATAAAAAGTTGTATATTTTAAAAACAGACAAATAAAATAAACAGAAATTATGTCAGCTCAAGAAACAATTGCCAAAGAAGCATATATAAAATGAGTAGATATATTTATATGTATAATAAATCTATCTATATTTTAAAAATAGAAAAAATAGAATAATAGCATATTATTAAAATGCAATCTACATAGAACTGCAAGACAAAATGTAATTTAGAATAAATGATAAAAATTATTTCAGCTAAAGGTGCTTTAAAAGCATCAAACTAGATATATTTACATTTTATATTTGTATGCTATAAAAAGTTGTATATTTTAAAAACAGAAAAATAAAACAAACGATTATTAAAATGCAACCACGCAGAAATACAAGAGCAGAAAATGTCATTTATAATAAATTAAAGCAAGTAAATATTAAAAATGATTTCAGCTCAAAGTACTTTAAATATATAATTACAAAAGGAGAATATTTAAAATATAAAATAGATATATTTACATATATTCTATAATAAATCTGTGTGCATTTTAAAAATATAATTAAAAAAAATATATATATTATTAAAATGTGATCTACAAAGAACAACAAGAGGTGAAAGTTAAAATTACATTTTTACAATTTATAATATAAAACAGTGTTACTGCAGTAAAAAAAACCCGGACTTAACATGTCTAGCACCTGAAACACTGGCACAATGTGAAAGCATTGCTTCAAATAAAGTCTTCAGGAGAAGTTTGGCTTGAAGAGCAGACATCTGTCATTAGCTCTGAGCTTTCAGAAGAGACCAGCGGCTAGTTTTAGCTGGATGTGAGAGGATTTAGTTTGCATTTCCAGCAGCGTCAAGACGAACGCATCAGCTTTTCAAGCCTCTGGTGTTGAAGAGAAGAAAGGCTTCATTTAAAGCCTCTCCGTGATTTTATAATTCTTTCGGCTTCAGAATGTAAAACCTCCAGGAAACTGAAACAGTCACACTGTTACGACCCTGACAGCGTCATTTCAGCTAAACTACAGCTCAGATAACCCATAAACTTCAACCAAACCAAGTACCATTAAATACTGCAATATATGTTTTAAAGTTTTGAAATATGAATAATTTTTTTTTAAGTTTGTGGAGGTAGAATATATGAATCGCCTTCGCATATAAATAGTTTAAAGGGGTCATCGGATGCCCATTTTCCACAAGTTGATATGATTCTTTAGGGTCTTAATGAAAAGTCTGTAACATAGTTTGGTTAACATTTCTCAATGGTAGTGTAAAAAACACCTTTTTTACCCTGTCAAAAACAGCTCTTTTCAGATCAAGCCGTTTTGTAGCATTTCCCTTTAAATGTTAATGAGCTCTGCTGACTCCGCCCCTCTCTTCCGAGCCGCTCTGAGAGAATGTTTACTTTAGCCGCATTCATCGTGAAACTTGCTAATTAGCACATTATTAGGAAAGGCGATTTGCAAAGATTCATTACAAAACACTCACTTCTTCTGTAGATGAGGCTGGATCACGAGTGATTCGCGCGAACATAGACGCATTTATGTAGATCGGGGGCGCATTCCCTTCAGAAACAAACATAATCCACTAGAAACAAATAATCCACTGCGAGTTCAGCGGCTCAGATGTCGGGAGTAAACATGTAGCATCGGATGACCCCTTTAAGTGCTGTTCAAAAGGTTTGGGGTCAGTAAGATTATTTTTAAAGGGGTCATATGATGCTTTTTTGAAGATCATTATTTGGTGTATTTGGTGTAACAGAATATGTTGACATGCTTTAATGTTCAAAAAACACATTATTAATCGCATCATATGACCCCTTTAAATCAATCGCTTTATTCATCAAGGATGCATTAATTTGATCAAAAGTGACAGTAGAGACATTTATAATGTTACAAAATATTTCTATTTCAAATAAATTCTATTTTGTTGGACTTTCTATTCATCAACAGATCCTGAATAATGCAGTAATGATGCTGAAAACAGCTTTGCATTACAAGTTTTAAAATATGTTCACATAGAAAAGTTAAAGTGCAATAATGTTTCACAGTATTACTGTTTCTTCTGTATTTTTGATCAAATAAATGCAGCCTTGACGACTTCTTTCAAAAATGTCTTTTTTTAAAAACAAACATTTCTGCCTATTTTAGCATACATTTAACAGGATGTTTATGTCTAACTGTTTCTTCTGTTTTGTGCAAAACATTTGAGGACTACGATGCGACAGATTTCAGACTCAGACGTCAGTGAGCGTGAACACATGTCATCCTGCTGCTTTATTTATTCACCAAAACTAAAAATACCTTTCAGAAAGCGTTCACAGTTCGGCTGGACACTTGTAAACACTGAACAGACTCTCCAAAAAAAAAAAAAAAAAGCAGAGCGATCTATATGCATGTCTTTTAATGTACGATAAGTTGTAATAATCGTTCTAAATCTGTGAGAAGTCCACACTATAACGATAAGGACACTGGAATCACTCCCAGAACAGGTTTTTTTTTTTCCAGCCGAAGAATGATAAAAATATTGACAGCCAATCAGAATCCACCTGGTGTCAAATATCTCTTGGTGTGAACTCTGTTGTAGCAGTAATCGCTGACAAAAAATATTGAACTGTTCAAATATAGGCCGACAGTGACGCAGATGATGAGGTTTTGGAACAGATCATAACAAGTACTGTGTATTTGTGCTGATGGCAGAAGAAAAGCTGAAACCAGACCAGAGTTTAATCCTTTTTTTGTTAAATGATATTTTCCTCCTGTGGCAGGTTTAATGTTTTATTCAGAACTCTTTGCATAATGAACATGAACGTGTTCAGAATTAAGGTGCAAACATCAGCAAACACATCCCAGGTCAGCAGAAGATCATTTCAGCATGGCAATAATCAGAACATCTTCTATGAAAAAAACAGGCAGGCATCTTTAGTAGTACGGTTCGTGACCTCGTTTTCTCTCGCGTAGCGCTAGCCTGACCTTTGACCCCCTCATAGATGCTGGTGCAGCTCCACTAATGGAAGACTTCTCATAAACCCAGCTGACAGCTGATTGGCCTTTCCGTCGATGGATCTGACCAATGAACAGGTCGATCACATTTAAAGGGGAAGGAGCCTGGACTCAAGTAACCAATCAGAAACGTGCTGAGCTGAATCGGGGAACACGGCTGTGTTCAAAATGTCATCCCAGCATACTAATCTGCAGTACATAGTATGCATACCGTGCACAGTATGCAAAAGTTCTTATGCATGGCAAGAGCTAAGACATTTACCTAAAGCTGAGCGGCTTATTTATACAGCGCTTTATACAGTACAGATCGTTTCAAAGCAGTAATAACAGGACTGGAACAGTGTTAATGTTGCAAAGTTCATCGATTATGAAACCAATTCGATCTCAGTAGACAACAGTGTCATTATTTAGTAACGCTAATTCAGTTTAGTTCACCAAGTGTCAATCTTGCAAAGTTCAAGTAGATCACTATCCCACAATGCAATGCATTCGACCTTCTATTTACAGTGCGAAAAATGACCTACACTTTTTCCTCATTACTTTAATGGATGATTAAACATGCAAAACAACAGCATTCATTTCAGACATCTGCTGATCTAGACATGCAACATAGTGAAAAAATGTAGTACTCTACTGTGTGTAACCTATATCATTGCAAGTGCACCATTTCACATACTGTTTAAAAAAAAAAATGAGGCAGTATTGAGTATATACTGCACAGTAAGCACTGCGCTAGGACTCCATTCTGAACACAGCCTGCGTGTTAATGAGGAGCGATAAAAAAAAACACTGAGCGAAGGAAAGCTGGAGCAGTCTATTCTCTGGTTTAAAGTGGTTTAGTCCAGTTTAGTCACTCAGAGGGCAGTATGTGCTTTTGGCAGGATAAAAAAAAACAATCTCTCGGTTTCAAAGCAGGCGTGCGCTGAAATGAGAGCAGGCTGAATGCAAAATCCCAGATTGTGACATCATCGTCTTGATTACATCACCGTCCCTCTGCTCGATTCTGAGTACATTCAAAACACCACGGGAAAATGTTTTTTCCTCGCTGCTTCGAAATAAAAGAGTTGGCTGTGGATGTTCGTAACATTCGCTGTGCCATTTATTGGCTCAGAAGTCGTCATGATTATGAGATCATTCCCAAAGGCTCATTAACATATCACCGCCCACATTTACATATCAATACCTGTTCAGTATCAGTACGCTGATGTTCACCAATCATAACAGTGCATGTACATATACAAGTCTTAAAGGTACAGCAGCAAGCGTGTTTCAGATGGCAGAAAATGACATTGTTGAATGCTGAGGGGATTTAAAGTAAAATGCTACAGAAGTGTAGAATATGACACATTTCATACCGTGGAATGAGTTGAAGCAGATCTGTTTCCGTTCCAGTCAGAGCCTATGAGCAGAGCTATTCCTGAACCCTCCAGCCAATCAGAGAGCAGAATTCACAAGCTCCTCCCCCTCCCACCCAGAATAAAAAAAACAGAGCAATGATTGGAGGACACAATCGATGAGAACATTCGATATTAATGAGGTGAGCGATGTATAGCGGTGAGTGTAAGTGCTTTTGGCATTCATAAATCAACGTGTGATCATCAAACATGGCTTTAAAGCTCAGACTCCCCAAAGAAAACACCCTCACGCGTCTCCACGAGCACGTGATGCGAACAGACTCTTGCCACACTTTGCATAAAATGTAAAATCATGTCCTGATTTTCAGATACTCCTAAAATATTTTCACAGGCAAGAATTCAGCTTTTTTTAAATATGTTTTTTTTTTTTTTTATGTTACGTCATTCATTTTTGTTTCATTTGATGTTTGTCGATGCTGAAGTTGCTGTTGTTTGTTCGGGTGTAAGAAAGCATTCAGCTCCAGGGGTCACCGTGTGTGTGTGTGTATGTGTGTGTACATATACAGGTCAGTGTGTGTGTGTGTGTGTGTGGCTATGAGCCTTCATGATCAGTAGAGTCCTGGTTCAACTCTTTCCTGGTGCCCATAGTGGGAGTTCCTGAGTTTTTCCTGGACCGCTGCTTCTCGTCAATATCATGCAGCGATGGCTCCTTATACATACACACTGAGACACAGAGACACAAATACATACAAGACATCATTATTAAACAGCAGGGGTTTAGCAACTAGTGAGGCATTAATACAGTGCAGTCCAAACATCTCAGAGAAAAAAGCTTCAATCTTGCATTGTCTAATTCAGTTTTTTTTTCATTACAAATTACCAGTATTTAGGTGAAAAATCTGCATGATTTTTTTCAAAGTTGTCTAATTTCCAGGTTTTATATATATATATACACACACACACACACACACACACACACACACACACACAATATCAGAACAGAATTGATCATATGCATATGTAATTGTGTGTAGTTCTGGGTGATGTAGATAAAAACATTTAATATATTATTCTACATATTCAATTTTATTTAATGTATTTTAATATATTTTCTATAAAATTCTACCTACACACACTCACATATATATATATAGATAGATATATAGATAGATAGATATAGATTATATAGAATATTATTATTATTATTATATATTATATTTCAAGGAAATAGCCAATGATGAGAAATAGATTTGAAATGTTTAAAAAAGCAAAATACAGTAAAAATCTAGTTAAAATAATCGGTTTATGATTTCCACTTTATTTCACTCAATTAACACAAGAAAGAATATTTATATTATTTCAGCTTTATTCATAGGTAAATGGTAAATGGCCATTTTAATCTACATGGCCTAAATATTTTACTAAAACACTTTAAAGCAATTAAAATGCCATACAAAGAACATTTCGGAATGATGACAAATGAATTCAGTTTGAATTTTGAACTGATTTATTAAAACAAACAGTTTGAAATAACTATTTCATGTAAATTATTCAAACTTTAAACATTTTAATTGAGTTTGAATATATGCTATTAAAAAAGCATCTAAAGTCATCATGGCACAAGTCTACTCTTTAAATGGTCAGCAAAATAATAATGAATGTACTGTAAATATTTCATACATCACCCAGCCCTACTTATGTGTGTGTGTGTGTGTGTGTGTGTGTGTGTGTGTGTGTGGGTGTGTGTGTTCTGGGCACGAAGTGTGAGCACGGTTTAGTTTTCTTGACCCGGTTTCCCTTCATGATGATTCCTTCTTTATTGAGTCCGAGGAACCAGGCGCGTCCGCTCTCATGCTGGCGGTACAGCGTAGATGAGTAGATCACATAATAATTCTCAAAAACACTTTCCTTAAACTTACACTCCGCTGTGAACGTATCCTACAGACAGACAGAAACAGAGAGATCGAGAGAGATGTTAAAACACAATTACAGCTCTCAAGTGTGTGTGTGTGTGTGTGTGTGTGTGTGTGTGTCTTTATAGAGTCTTTGTCCCAGTTTCTTTATAAAGTCTTTTGCATGCACAGGTGGAGAGGGTGGAGACCGCCATCATCCAGAGCAGAAACCACCTCGGGTGAACACACACACACACACACACACACACACAAACATTTGACACAATTAATGTTTTGTATATATTTCATACAGTGGAGTATAAAAACCTGAGACCACCAGTGAAATTGTTTATATTTTGCATTGGGAATTTAACCCGTTTAATCCCAAATTTTTCCCAGACATGAAAATAACCAAATGATGTATCATTAGTGACAACTTTGAAATAATAATTATTTTCTGATTTTTTTTTTTTTTTTGGAAAAGTGTGTGAAAAATTGTGTTTTATGACTGGTGGGATAATGTGTGTATTGAATGAACATATTTCTGCAGTCATCAGAATTTTTATATATCTCAGCCCAGCTATTTTAAACTCTGTTTCATCACATTCTAGGGTTACTATTATGCATAAAAACCCTTATACAACACTGATAGGAATACTGAGATAAAAGACAAAAAATACAACCATCAATGTATTTTAAAATTGCTACTTTATTGTAATATATATCATAAAATATTAGTGCTACCAGTATTACAACATCAATATTGTAACTTCTGAACTTTTAATTTAGTGCAATATTCCCTGAAGTCATTGCAACATTTTAGTGCAACAGTCACTAACAACTGCAGTTGGATTTATATGTATTGCTGTTATCCCACCGTTCACTATTGCTGCCATCAACATGTTTACTTATTCTATGACCACACTCAACAAAACTGAATTATTGTGAATTCATATATTAATGCTAGACACCTTAAAGATAACATGTACCAAAAATTTTTATGTTAAGATACTTTACCAGCCTTTTGTTTTGGAGCTTCGATGCAGCCATCATCTTCTCATAGTGCAAACATGAAATAAACCAAAAGGGTCTGGCTGCAGCTTGGCGCTTGCACTCTCAGGCTTGCACTCTCAGACACTTGCGCTTCCGCTAGCGACTAGACCCTTCTCAAATAAACTGATCTGGTCATGTGACACTTCACACTAACCATGTGACACTGCACACATTAAATTGAGAGCCTTTATTTATTCCATACTTGCAGGAAATGCACTAAAACACCAGTCATTAAAATTTTTAGAGATTTATAAATGAAAACCTTCTTTACGGTCACAAAAGTTACAAATTATATTAGCAGAATAACAATGTGAGTGAAAAATGAAACTGAAAAATGCATATAATTTGGGAATGTGCATTTTGTACTTCAATGGAAGCAAGAAAATCACTTATATTTGATTAATCCCTAAATTCTGAAATATTTATTTTGTTTTACATCATAATAGAGTTATAGTCGTGATGACTATCACCGTGGATTCCCTCGAGATTTTCCTATGGGTTTTTTTATAATGAAGTTTTTCCAATGTAAAATATTTATATTTGAGTTTATAACAATTAAAAAAATAATCATATATTTACCACAAACCTTGAGTAAAACAAGGTTTGTGCTAAATATAAAATTCAAGATACATAGGCATTTGGCTCTGCAGCGTAAATTACACACATCCATCCTGAAAACATGAATTATGAAGCAAATATGATTCTTTTTAAAAATGTATGTACGTACGAGCATTATTACACTTCCATATATGAAATATATTGTGATATGAAGTGAAAACATATATGAAACCTATAAAAAGAAATTGGAACAATTTTTTATATTAACATATATATCGAACCCATACAAATATGTATGTTTATGTAAGTGCAATCCATTTTTGGACATGTATGTCATGTACATGTATATTTGTCCTGTTAATAATATATAAGTAAATAAAAAAGATAGACATGCATTTAAAAATGTCGATTTTTGTATATACTGCATGTTTTTAAAGCTGCATATACAGTAAATTAAATATATATTGTTGACATACATGGTTGCTGCAATAATACCATATAAAAATCATCGTATAGATATTATTATGTACATCTTACTATGGGGTTTTATATATGTTATGAACTTATATCTACCCAGAGAATGTACATATGTGAAAATTATATTTTGCCTTATAAGTATCATATATGGCAATATCACTCTTAATATAGGTCAATATATGTCATTTATTACATTTCCATATGAAGTTCTGTGCGACAAAACGTCTTGTCAAAGTATTGTCAAGTTATATTTACGACAGGCCTTGTTTTGCTTATGAATTGAAAAACTCCATTATAAAAAGCCATGGGAAAATCTCAACCCAAGGTGAATTAGTCTTCTGGGTTTTGACGTCGCGGCTGCAGCACTTTATGGTTTTATTTTAAAATCCGAATGCTAAAACTTTATTTATTTATAAAACTTTACCTGGTTATTTCCAGGTATTTGTTCATTTCCCACATTTTCAATGCGGTCTCAAACTTTTGAACCCTACTGTATATTACACACACACACTCACACACACACTCTCTCACACACACACACACACTCACACACACACACACTCACACACAGAAGTAAGGGAGATGTGTGCTCTTTGCCATCTCAGCATCTCAAAGCACTTTAGCAGATTAAAAGTCACCACTAAATAACCGGTAGAAAACCTCACACACACATACAACCCTGATCTACAACATCCAGACAATAAAACTGCTGAACACACTCAGTAAAACACAAATTACAACAACACCAATCTGAGAGGGGATATTCGTGTGTTTACAAATCAATGGAAGGCAATTCACAAATATAAAACATAAAACCATAGGCGAAGCGTGTGTAAGGCTGGCCATGGGGACTTGGGGCAATAATAGCACTAAATTGGACAAAAATGCCCCTGCACAAATAAATTAAATCTATTACGTCTGTTGCTAACAAAGTGAATATGAATAGACAGTGTCGATTGCGGCATTAAATTAAGATATGCTCATGTTGCACCGTATTTAATTTTAGGCGTTTTTACAGTGTTGCGCATTTTAACCAATCACACACAATTCTGTTGAGCTTAGGAATGCAATGGCCAATCAGAAGCGTTCAGATGAGTCATCGTTGAAACAGATCAGTTTGTTTGAGTGCGCGCGTGTTCGCTGACTGAATTCCGAACTCTTGCGAATTCTCTCATCATAAACAACAAAGCGCAGATGTACATACAATGTAAGAGATTAATTTCACAGTGTATACAGCTTCAGTGATTATAACCATAGTTTTGTTTTTTTAAGCGTGCTTAAACTCGCGATAGATCAATGTTAGTGATAATGTCACTTTCTATAATTTATTCGCTGTTTGAATAACCATGGAAAGGAAACGTTATATAATTATCAATTTCTAACGTTTTTATTAAATTGTAATCACGTTAAATACAAATTCAGTCCCATAAAACATTTTTTTAGCCTACATGACACATGTCTGGTTCTTGGGTTTATGATGTTTAATACATTTGGTTGCTTTTAGCCATACCCTGGAGTTGGTTCCCCCTCCGCCTATGCATAAAACTATCAAGGTTAATTAAAAAAATTCATAAATTCAGTAAAAACATAAAAATTATATTGTAAAACAAACTGTGATTGACTGAAGTTATCAAACAGTAATGTGGGTGTTCACCTAGGAAAGATGTTTAATGTATATGAATCAAAATACGTTTACAGATCAATTTTACATTCACAAAACAAAACAGATTTAATGACAAATGAACGTTTTCATTTTGTGAAACTTGCATTCATTTGTGAATTTCAAACAAACATCACCACGTGCCAAAATACACAGATATATTAAACACAATTTTGTGTGCATACAGTTACAAGCACTGCTGAATTCTTCATAAAACTCAACATCACCGCTGCATTATTACCTCAGTTGTATATTCATTTTCAATCAGTTGTCAATAATTTCTTGCATACACACATACATACTGCATTGCAACACTCACAAACACAAACACACACCCAGACAAAGAAACACACACATGCATCGACTGTCACACTTTGGCAGAAGTTCATTATCACACTAAAACTGAGTTGATTAACACTTTCTCACCCCAAAGATAGAACAAGATCCAGAACAGCTGATCTTGACACACACAGACATGTGTAATGTTACATAACACCAAACATAAACCTTCATTAATATGCATTTCTATAAGTTCGGTCTCTATACTGTATGAAAGATCAAGCTGCAACGGCACAACGATGCTGACCTTTTCATTCACATCGTCCAAAAATGGGTGAAGTCAACTGAATATTCCAGTTTTTGAAAAAAGTCCAGTTTTGTATAAAAGGGTTTTATGTCAGTTCGCACTTCCAATTCAACACTTGAGCACAATTATTATGAACAAACTTGAAATCAATTATATGATTGTTTTTTCCTATATTTTGTGCTGATGTTGAGATAAAACCTGCAAAATGATGTGAAATAAATTTAAATATGGTAAAAAAAAAAATGTAATAAATGGAGCTGAGAGTACAAGACTTTAACTGCTGAAAGCATCAACAAATCACATGAAATATTTAAGAAATGAACTGAAAATGTGCAGAGCTTTGTAATATGACAGCCATTTGAATTTTCAATCAGTTTTGTGTCAGTTTGTGTTTCCAATTAAACACTTCAGCACAATTTATTACAATTATGAACAAACTTGAAAATATGATTGTTTTTGACATATTTTGTGGAACAAATTTAAATATGGTAAAAAATTAAATAGAGCTGAGACTACAGCAGTGCAACTGCTGAAAACATCATCAAATTACCTGAAATATTTAACAGACAAACACAAAAAGTGCAGAAATTTGTAAAACGACAGCCATTTGAATTTTGAATCAGTCTGGGTTTTGTATCAGGTTGCATTTCCAATTGAACAATTAAGTATAATTTATTATGAACAAACTTGAAATCACACTTACACTGATTATATTTTTCCAATATTTTGTGCTGATGCTGAGATAAAATCAGCAAAATCCTGTACAATGAATTTAAATATGGTAAAAAATGAAATGGAGCTGAACGTACAAGACTAATTTACTTTAAATATTTAATAAATGAACAGAAAGTGCGCAGAACTTTGTAAAATGACAGTAATTTGAATTATGAATCAGTCTGGATTTTGTGTCAGTTTGCATTTCTAACTTTACAATTAAGCACAATTTATTACGAACAAGCTTGAAATCACTGTTTTCCTCCATATTTTGTGTTGATGTTGACATAAAATCTGTGCAATTCTGTGGAACAACTTTAAACATAGTAAAAAAAAAAATTTAATGCAGCTGAGAGTACAAGACTTGCTGAAAGCATCATCAAATTACCTGAAATGTTTAATAAATGAACAGAAAAAGTGCCGAACTTTGTAAAATGACAGCTATTTGAATTCAGACACCCTTTCTTTCATGTAGGCCTTGGCTGGTGCTAAAATTGTTTTGCAATGGAGATTTTAAATGTCATTTTTACTTACAGTTGGGTTATGAGAGCGGCCCAGTGCTGCCATGAGATTTAAAGTCCTTTCACACTCTTCACAGCAAACTGACAGCTGTGTGTGTGTGTGTGTGTGTGTGTGTGTGAGTGTGTGTGTGTGTGTGTGTGTGTCTAAAAACACACTTACACTGCTTGCTTTCTTTGTGAATCAATGTAGTTCAGGAGCTACACTTGAAATTTTAATAGATCAAGTCTGTGAATTATGAATGTAGACGGGAGCAGAGACTGCTGCTTCCAGAACCTTCTCGCTGTTGTGTTTTAGACTACATGAGAGAAAGCTAGCATTACAATCCTTCTTTTGACTTGCATTTTCTGCACTGAACACATCCAGAAACGTAAAAGCACAACACCACAAAAAAAACAGGAGTATCTCTACAAAAACAAACCAAGTTTGCTAAAGACGAAGGCAAAATTTGAACTATTTGAATCATTTTTCATCGATGTACATTCAGTATTTCACTCAATTTCCAACATTTCTCTCAATTAACAAAAACGGTATAAAACATTTCAGATTAATGCAAGACAGTACATTTTTACTGACTCTGTCCACCATCGTTCTGTTCAGATATTTTACCTTTAGTACAAATAGCATATTACTTAAGTTTACATTTTGTATTGCATCTATCAATATTTATACTGTGTAAACAAGATGCCATTTGTTTACAGTATCTGCCAATATAGATATAGCCTCTATCTTTTTATACTTGTAAATATGGAGAACAAAACCTGCAAAAATTAAAATAATTAATTGTATTTAATAACAATAATTGTATTTATTTTATCAAATCATTTATTTCTTTATTTTCCTATTGGTACATTTAATTAATTAATTATTATTATTATTATTTAAATTTTTGCAGGTTTGGTCCTCCATATGAAAATAGTTGTTGGTATAAATTTAAATTTTAATCATTTTAATCACAATATTGAAGCTCTGACCTGCAATAAATCCAGTAAAACACAAACAACACCTCCTCACACACAATATATTAACACACGTAATATTACACACTTCAACCTGTAAAAACACACAACATCACAACCGTAACACAATGACAGTGTGTCCTGCTTTCCAAAACACACACACACACACACACACACACACAACAAAATATACACGCACTCAAAATTGCATATAATAGTACATACCCCGACAAACGCTACAGAGAAAAGAAACAAAACAGATTGTTCGATCACATGAAAAGCTGTGGACTTTAGATAGAACAGATATTTTACACACACATCCTCATCAACACACACACACACACACACACACACACACACACACAGATGTGAGGAGTGTTTTCTTACCGAGGAGTAGAGGAAACCCTCTCCATTCATGGCCATGTAGAGTCCAGCCTTCACGCCCTGTATCGCCACGACCCGCAAACCCACCGGGATCAGATTAAACAGAGCTGAAACACACCAACAGCAACATCTTACTGCTCCGGTGTCACTCTTTTAGAGCTCAGGAGACTCACTGGAGCTCCTAGTAATGTTCCATATAGAGACAATTTTGCCTCTAAATGTTCTCCTCTGTGCGCCATTCAGAATTGAATTGAGAATTCCTTTTAAATTAATGAATTTGCACTGAGGTAGCAAAAAGGATGCAGAATTACAATTCCAATTTAAATGTAACAAAGCTAAATTAAAATTAATTGAAATTAAAAAAAATCAGATAGACAATAGACCGAACGATAGAACAATAGAACGATAGATAGAACGATAGAACGATAGATAGATAGATAGATAGATAGATAGATAGATAGAAAACAGAATCCAAAATTACATTCAAATTTGAATGTAACAAAGCAAAATTTAAATTTGAAATTCAAAAAATTCAGATAGAACAGAATGACAGATAGAACGATAGATAGAACGATATAGATAAATAGATAGATAGATAGAATGATATAGATAGATAGACAGACAGAAAGAAAGAAAGACAGACAGATGATAGTGAAATTAGTTCATTTCAGGGTCTGCTGCTTCTCAAAGGGCAGATGTTTCAGATGCAACAAAAGAATATTCAAAAGGAGAAACGAGGGATGGAATGGAAAAGAGAGAGAAATTAATCTACTGAGTGTCAGAGGATGGTTTCAAACACTCGTAACGCTGCTGCTGATTCAGTTCCAGTCCGTAAAAATCGACAGGAGGGAAAAAACCCAGAGGAGAGAAAAAAACAGGAGCAGCGGAGGAGTGCAGCAGGATAACGGAGGGATGGAGGGGGAGGAGAGATCAGAGAACCAGAACAAGGGATGAGTGTGTCTGTTTGGGATTGAGAGCAGAATATGAGAGAAAATTCATGTGAACAGAGATATTCATGTGATGAGGAACATACTCTACACAACACATGAACACAATCTCAATTCACAATCCACAACGCAAGTACATTATCGGTCAAAAGTTTTTTTTATTATCAATGTTGAAAACAGCTGTGCTGCCAAATTTTTTGTGAAAATGCTGTGATACATTGTGATACACTACCATTCAATTTTTTGAAAGGAATTAATACTTATATTCATCAAGGATGCATTAAATTGATCAAAAGTGACAGTAAAGACATTTAGAATGTTAATAAAAGATTTCTATCTCAAATAAAAGCTGTTCTTTTGAACTTTCTATTCATCTGTGAATCCTGAAAAATAAAATGTATCACAGTTTCCACAAAAATATGAAGCAGCACAACTGTTTTCAACATTGATAATAATCAGAAATGTTTCTTGAGCAGCAAATCAGCATATTAGAATGATTTCTGAAGATCATGTGACACTGAAGACTGGAGTAATGATGCTGAAAATTCAGCTTTGATCATAAATTCTAAAAGTATTTTACGATGATTTTTACTGCATTTTTGATCAAATAAATGCAGCCTTGGTGAGCAGAAGAGACTTCTTTTATAAAAAAATCTTAATGATTTCAAACCTTTGTCCAGTAGTGTAAGTGTTGATAGAAAGAAATTTGAAGGAAACCGTTTTGCCGCCCCCTCCTTGAGTTCTGAAGTTTGTTACTGTAAGCATGTACAACAGGAAAACACGCTGAACAAGAATTCATGCAGCTCTGTTTCTCTCTGCTTCAGCTTGTTCATCAGCTGTTCTTCATTTTGCTGGAAGCCGACCAGATTCTGACTGTATTGTGTTTCAGTTCTCCAGCTGATCAATATTCTCACTTTAGATGAAAACATGTTTGCCCACAGCTGTCGGATAAATGCGCTCATGTTATATGAGAATTCCCCACAGCTTAAAAACACAACGAAAAGACAAAACTCTGTCCTTAAACACAACGTGTCAAAACTGATGCTATTTACTTTCTTAATGCACACTCCTGTTCTTGCTGTGAACGACTGCATGTTAAAGTGCATGAAAAAGTGTCCGTGTTCATAATCTTTCATCAAATCGCCAGTTTCACTCACATTATCGTAGTCAAATGGGCGTTTTATGTTGACTTTAATACTGAATCGGTCGTAAGACTCGAGGGCTGAACAGTAATGTGTGTCTCACGTGTGTCACACAAAGACTCAGTGTCTAAGCCTGTTGGACTCGCTAATGTGAGTTTAGCAGATAAGGAGGAAGGCTGTGTGATTCAAAAGCATCTCACAGGAGATTCAAGACATGAGTGGGCACCTTCAAACCACTGAGAGAATACAGGAGCTGGAAGAGAGATAGAACGCTCCAAAATCCTGAGCTTTAGAAGTAAAATATCCCTCTCTAGCACCCCGGGGAGATGAGCTCAGAAGTGTGTGTGTTTGTGTGTGTGTGTGTGTGTGAGTGTGAGTGTGAGCATCCCTCTCGAGATGAGCTCAGAAATGTGTGTGTGTGTATGTGTGCGTCCACACTCACTAATGCATATGCAGATCTGAGAAATACACACATGTGTGTTTGTGTGGCGAGATCTCACACACACACACACACACGTGACCATGGTTCACTGTTCTATCAAGAAAATGTCACCCCAGAATCAAAAGAAAGAAATTATTCATTTTGAGAAACTTTTCATTTAAATTATTAAAATGACAAATTATGTCTACTCTAGGATCATTAAGATGTTTTGCATGGTGAAAAACTCATTTTCCCTTCAAATTCTTATTATTGTAATGCATCTGGCCTCATTTTTCTTAATGTAAAAAAATATGATAATACAATTATATATATATATATATATATATATATATATTAGACTTGTGCCGGTATTCGGTAATGCGATATATCACGGCAAACATTTGGAGTCAAGTCTCTTCTGCTCATCAAGGCTGCATTTATTTGTAAGAAAAACAGCAAAAACAGTAATATTGTGAAATATTATTAATATTTCAAATAATTGTTTTCTATGTGAATATATTGTAAAATGTAATTTATTTCTATGATCAAAGCTGAATTTTCAGCATCATTACTCCAGTCTTCAGTGTCACATGATCTTCAGAAATCATTCTAATATGCTGATTTGCTGCTCAAGAAACATTTCTGATTATTATCAATGTTGAAAACAGTTGTGCTGCACAATATTTTTGTGGAAACCGTGATGCATTTTATTTTTCAGGATTCACAGATGAATAGGAAGTTCAAAAGAACAGCATTTATTTGAAATTGAAATCTTTTGTAACATTATAAACGTCTTTACTGTCACTTTTAAACCTTTTTAACCTTGCTGAATAAAAGTACCGGTATTCATTTCATTTATATTTGTGCATCGGTTAACGTTCATATATGTATGCATGAAAAGAGAACATTAAGATCTGATGCAATCCAACACATCTTTGATTTCCTTTTTGGATTTCAGATCGTATCAGTTTCTGACACAGGACAGCGGGAACAGAGAGACTCACTGTAGTCGCTGTTTTCATCTTTGGTCCCGCCGACTGTTCCATCCGGCTGCATCTGCAAGTAGTAGCCCTGCTCGCTGAAGAGCCTGGTCACTATCCCCTTCAACTGAGGATCTGAAACACACACACACACACACGTCACAAACACAATGCCTGCGCACCATCCACACTCTTAGAAACATCTTCAAAGCTTCTTTATAGGTTTCGGAGTTGAGCTAAATGGTTCTTTGGAGATTATAAACTATCTGATGTTACATTACAGGTTCTTCTGATCTGCTTATGAAGAGCTAGACAACACAACATGTTTTTTACAAAACTTAAAACCTTCTCATAATGTAAAACCCTTCTTCAAACCTTTAAATAAACCACTCTAAACCAATCACACGTAGGCAAACAAGCACAAGTTTTGAATGGGATGGATGCATCATAATGCATGCTGAACTGTAATGCTTAGTATTGTTCAAAATTAATTAATTAATTAAAAAAAGGAATCTGTCAAGTTCCCGAAACAGCAAGTGCTGCTAATCAATTAAAATGTGTTAATTGTTAAATTACATTAGTAAACTGGCTCCCTTTCTGCTCTGTCTCACTCCCAGCATGTTTTCAAGAGTTTCACCGCAATATTTAGTATTAAAAAAGGTCACACGCTATAAAAAGACCAATGAAATCTGAATTACAGACACTTGTACAATATCCCTCATCTCAGAAGAGCTCAGTCGACCAGAATGAACAGAGAGGGGAGAAAAACGTAGTCAAATATGATACAGGCATCATAAACAAACCAAACTGACCAGAATAGATTTTGCCAGCTTTAATACGCATGTTTAATCAATAACAGAAGTTTCTGGTTGTAACATTGAAATGTAGCATTTTCTGTGAAGCTGCTTTGAAACATTATGTAAAACGGTGCTGATATGTGAAAAGTGCTATAAAAATAAACTCGAATTGAACTGAATCAATTTTTAAATTGAATTACGCAAAGACACACCTGTAACCTTTCAGAATAAAGTAACATGGGTCACACTTTATAATGACATTTATTAATAACATCAAACATTGTGGCATTATTTAATGATCATTACTGAAATGAAAAGTTGAAACTTAATACATACTTAAATATATTTGTATCCCTTACTTATCATTTGAATGTAAAGTACATCCACTACCTGTTAAGTATTATAAATGTTAATGCAATCGTATATTCAACTTTATTCATATCTAATATAATCTATATTAATATTTGTATTTATTGCTAAAGTTATCAATTAAAAAAATCATATATTCAATTATATTGACAAATATTTTATATCTAATGTTTATTTTTATTATATTTAATATTTATTAAATTTTTTATCTAACATTGTATATACACTTAATATTTTAAGGTGTTTATTGTAATCTATCTTTGTCTGTACATAAACAATATAAATGTTAATGCAATCAAAGTTATCAATAAAACTATCATATATTCATCTATATTAATATTTTATATCTATATATATATATCTTTATATATTTATAACGAAGTCAATACATTCCATCCCTACTAATACTTTAAAGCGTTTATTGTGATAAATCTATCATTTGTGTTTAACGTAGGTAAACTGTTAAGCATTATAAATGTTAATGCAATCGTCAGGTACCTTATTAATAAAACAATCATGCAAAATCTGACGTGCAGTAATATAATGTAGCATAAAGAGCGACAGACGCATCAAACTTCCGCGCGCACAGGTGAGCGTCACGCACAGGTGTGAATGAACTGACCTGGTTTCCGGCGCACGGGTCGTTTCTTCCCGCTGCAGAATCGGACTTTACTGAAGAGTCCTAACAGGTGCCGATCGCACAGGGAGCCTCGGCCCGAGGGCTCTTTACCGGGGCTGGAGCGACGCTTACCGGACACCGCTCGCTCGCTGTTTGACTCGCGCGCCTGCCGTTTCTGTCGGATGAGCGAGCTGGCGATCGCCGCGGCCATCTCACGGGAGAGGGAGGGACGATCGTGCAGATTCGGTGCAGATTCACGGTGCACACCACCGGCGCGAGGGAGCGAGCGCAGGCATGCACCGGAGCATGAGCGATACCGATAGACTCGGTATTTCCTACCACGGAAAGCACTTAAGAGTTACATAACCGCGCAATTAGACCACATAACAACACAGAGACCGTCCAAAAATGAGTCCTAACGGAAGCGTCAGTTATTCATGACATGAAGAGCTTCGAAGCGCGCAGCTGCAATGACGGGCGATGGGTGTCCGCTTCTCAACTCCTCATCAGTAAGGTCCGGTAAGAAGCACTCCAAAAACATTTGTTGATCTAACAGCCCTCATCCCATCTCCGTCCACGGTCCGTTTCCAGCATCTGTCCCGAGATCCGGTGCAGGGAAAAGCCTCAGAAAATCCAATGGAGTGATTCCAACCTACAGATGCATCTTGTGTGATTCCAGCCGAGGAGATGAAGCTCTGAATGATGCTGAGAGAACGAGAGACAGAGAGGGGGAGCAGTGTGTGTGTGTGTGTGTGGTCGGATAGAAGGAGAGCGACTCGACTGGGAACAGAGGGGGGGAGGTCAAAGCAACAGCTTTCCCAAAAAATGACACAGTCGCAGCGGGAGCTCAACGGCGGCCTAAACCAGAAACAAAACCTGGTTGACCAATATGGGTTTTTAAGTGGTGCATCTGCTTATCCTTGAGGTATGGACGCTTGTTTCTGCCACAGGATGAAAAAAATAACCTAAAAAAGGTCATTCCGACTTTTTATCTCACAATTCGGACTTTTTTTTTCCAATTTTGATTTTATATCTTGCAACTCTGAATTTTTTCTCCCAATTCTGAGTGCGCATCTTACAAATCCAGACCGCTTCCATTTTTTATTCTGTGACCGTAACAAATAAATAAATACATAAAATGAAATAAATTCACAATTGCGAGATATGAAGTCAGAACTGCAAGATATCAATTCAGAATTCTGAGAAAAGGTCAGAATTGAGAACAAATGTCGCAATTACCTTTTTTATTTTTTATTCCATGTCAGAACACAGGAAAACAGAATTGTGAGTTGTGAACTCAGAAAAAAGGTCAGAATTCTGAGTTTATATCTGGAAATGTTGAGTATCTTGCAATTCTATATATTTTTTTTTCTTAGAATCACGTGGGGAAAAAAGTCTGAATTGTAAGATAAAAAGTCACAATTATTTTTTTTTTCTTCAACACCCTGATATACTCATGGAAAAGTTATTTTTCGTTCTTCGCTTTGGGGTAAAAAAAAAAAACTTGAAATATAGCGAACATCCCATTTCTTTATTGCAAAATAAGATGGAATCGCTTATTTGATTGCTTTAAAGCAAAGAGCTTTACAGTATTAAACATGAAAAAACAGTGCAAGTGTTGCTTTCAATTAATATTACAACTTTCATTTCTATTATAAAGCAGCTCTTCAGTGTGTTCATGTTTCTATTTGTTTCTAACCTCAACGCATTGTCAAAGAAGGCGGAGCCCCAGAGCCACACCCACCTAGTTACAAAATCGCCAGGCAGGGACCAGTGGGATTCTGAAGGTGTTTTCCAGAAAAGTTTCCAGTTTTGAACATTGTTTTTTGCCTGATTTTGTTCGAAATGATGTCACACCTGTTCATTCATCGATTTCACTTAAAGTGTATTGTAGTAAATTTACCATCTCAAGAAACAACTCGGTATTTCTCACTGGACAGATTTCCTTGGCTTGACTAAAACATCCCGGCCCAATTTTAAGAAAAAAATCATTGCACAAAGGTCATTTCACAACGCTTGCCAGATGTCGAGTACAAAACTAATGTTACAAACGCAGAACATTCTAAACGAACAACATTTGAGAGTCAGTATCGTTAGGACAAAGTTTAATTAGGGCATTTCAAATGCAGTTGTATAATTACATTTATAGATGGTTTGGCTTCATGTGATTGCTTTTTATGATGAACAGCATTAATTTGTGCGGAGAGGTGAACTGAGGTCTGTGATGGAGCAGCTGTCACTGCTGCTGACTCAGGTACCGATATCGTATCGAACACGCAGAGCTGTCAGGTGCTGAGAGATGCTCTCTGAAGTCTCCAGTAAAGAGGCCAATCACTGTGACCCAGATACATCATTCAACCTTCATCACACAACACTGATTACTTTATCACTGAGAGAATGAGAGAGAGAGAGAAAGACAGGAGAAGAGAGAGAGAAAGAGAGGATGTCTATCTATAGTCTCCGCTGAGTAGGCCAGTAGTACTTGTGCACGCTAGTTCACACACACACACACACACACACACACACACACTATATACACACACAGATTTGAGGTCTACAAGTAAAGCATGAATGCATAGTGAATGCTTAGATCCACTTACTGATTCCTTTTAACTATATATATATATATATATATATATAGTTAAAAGGAATCAGTAAGTGGATCTAAGCATTCACTATGCATTCATGCTTTACTTGTAGACCTCAAATCTGTGTGTGTATATAGTGTGTGTGTGTGTGTGTGTGTGTGTGTGTGTGAACTAGCGTGCACAAGTACGAGAGAATGAGAGAGAGAGAGAAAGACAGGAGAAGAGAGAGAGAAAGAGAGGATGTCTATCTATAGTCTCCGCTGAGTAGGCCAGTAGTACTTGTGCACGCTAGTTCACACACACACACACACACACACACACACACACTATATACACACACAGATTTGAGGTCTACAAGTAAAGCATGAATGCATAGTGAATGCTTAGATCCACTTACTGATTCCTTTTAACTATATATATATATATATATATATATATAGTCACTGCATCAATAAATCATGGAAAGAATCAATAAGTCACGGCACCATGTTTTTCCATTACTTTAGCTCATTAAAATAATTAAACCAATTTCAACTTCCTTTAAGTTATATGCATTTAAACTGCAATGGACCTAATTTTTTATAGTGCATATATAAAGAACTTTATATTTTTTTAATGTATATATAATATGATATAAAAGTTTTTACTTTTAATATTATTACAATTCATGATAACATTTTTTAATGTTGCAAAAGATTAATTTATAATGATAATTTATAATATTTACAATGTTGCAATTTTTAAGGTTTAGATGTAATGTTGAACTTGATATTTATGTCATTTTTGATTATGTAAAGCACTTTGAACTGCATCTTATGTCTGAAAGGTGCTATATAAATAGTTTATTAGAAAATATTAAGTTTATTATTATTATTTTCAAATAATATTTCATATTTGTGTGCATGTTGTTTTTTTTGCAAAAGTGAATTTAGACTTCACAACATTTTAAAATGTACAACATGAAATATGGACTACTCATTTTGAGATTAATAGTTCTTGAGGTCAGACCTCCATTACAGGAAAGTGCTGTTCAAGAAGTAGTGCGCTTAAACAGTTAAATCTCAGACATAATCTAGTGCTTTCCCTTTAAATTAGTGCTAGATGATGGCAAAAACAATCTCAAATTGACTGTCACCCCCTTTTTTGAACATAGGCATCAAACTTAAATGGTTGTAATTCATGAATGCTGTGGAATACAGACCTAAGCTTGGTCCTTTTAAAGAAAACAATCATCAGATTATTGCTGAAGTGAAGGCATTTCAAAAAATGAAAGTGTAAAAAAAGTTAGAAGATTAAGTTTATTGTAAAGAAAATGTATTGTACTTCATTTTTTTTTTTATATTTTATATATAAAACATTTATAAAATGTTTTGGAATCTAATATAGCTATAAAATTAAAGCCTTATGTCTAAGTAATGTTCCAAATTTGAAGTTGATATCACAACAATTGAGGATCCTGTGGGATTTTGCTTAGGCGCTATACCAAAAATGTATAAATATACTACTTCTATCACAAAATAACCACCAAACATGGAATCTTGAGACCCAGACCTTTCCAATAATATGTGTTTTGTCAAGATTAGAAAACGCTTTGATTATAAAATATTGTAGTAAATTTCGTAATATGACACTTGACACCGCCCACTAGGGGGAGGAGCCTGCTAAAGGCATTTAAAGTACCATTTTCATGGTAGCGCAATGTCTGATTTCAAAACTGTTTTCACTGAATTAATTTTGAGTGTTTAAGCTTTTGAATGATATCTAATTTGGATGATTACTAAAATATGTGATAAGGAAAAAAGGCAAAAAAAATAAAAAAATAAATTAAAAAAAGAGCACCAAGGCAGTCAACAGGTTAAATATCAAATGTTGAAGAAGTTTTACTTTTGTACAATGACCTGTGATAAAATCACTGTGTTGAGTCAGCACTAAATCAGTGACCTGTAAAGAACAGGATGAGAATAAGGAGGAAGAGGAAGGCCGAGCTTCATCAGATCCTCTCTGAAAGACGAGTGTGAGTGTTGATGATGACCCCTAATGATTCAGGAGTAGTATAACCCTGTCTCAGCACTGCACGAGTGTGTGTGTGTGTGTGTGTGTCCTGAGGAGTGTAACCTGCCATCAAAACGGATCCCAAAATGAGTGTCCGTTTCAAAGACAGAGATCAGATTTGGAAAAATAAGAAAAGAGATGGAAACTGAAACTCTATAATCTGTATTTAGTGTCTGTGGGTTGGTGGGAGCCGTGCTCTGATTGGTCAGTCAACGAAGGAAGGAACCAATGGCAGGTCAGAGCTATCTGTCATTATAATGACCCCTGATGGAGCAGTTTGGAAATTGATCAGAAAACTCAACACCAACACACACACACACATAGGTCATCAACTATTATGAAGTTGCAATCAATATCTTGACCCCTTCACATGGACACATACATATAAAGCGTTTCAAACATGCTGTCATCTAACGAAATATATTTGTATAAATACTTTCAGATACTGAATGAATTATAAGTAGGGATTAAAATGCATGTTTGATTTTATTCTCCTAAAAACCACAAGATTGCACAAAAATTTACCAAAGCATTTTCCTAAACATCGGCATTTCACTATGCATGTGGAAATTTGGCTGATTCTTGACAATCATGCAAATCAGCATATTAGAATGATTTCTGTAGGATCATGTGACACTGAAGGCTGAAGATGCTGAAAATTCAGCTTTGCATCACATTCAATCAATTACATTCTACAATATATTCACATAGAAAACACTTATTTTAAATTGAAATAATATTTCACGATATTTTTGCCTTTACTGTATTCTTGATCAAATAAATGCAACCTTGGTAAGCATAATGATTCTACACTAATTATTTTTAAAATGTTATAGATTTATGTAGCAAATGAGAATCAGTAAAATTACTGAATATATTTTGAGACAAAGGTCAATTATGTAACCATAATTATAATGAAAACATATATTTTTTAAAAACATGGTATTTATCATATCATTTAATAAAGTAAACAGAATATTTACTTTTTTTTTTTTACATTTTCAGAACGATCATTTTAATGACAGGCATATTTATTTAAAAAATATATTTTATCAGAATAAATAGAAAATAGAGCAAACTCTGCTGAAGTGATTGTTTTGAACAAGCATGAACTTGTTAATAATAATTAACAAATTAATGTATTTGTCTCAATAATGGGAGCCCTGAACATTTCTAAGATGTTAAAACAAAACAAACCACTTTTATGATGTATTTGATCCATCAATGTTCAATAAATACATGCGTTTTATTCTGTAATCATACACTACTGTGCCTGGGAGTAGTGAAAATCGCTCGCTGCATTGCATTCTGGCATTGCATAATCTGAAAATGACACAGAT